CTCATTATGTGGGGACTAGTACTGTTATCCGATGAAGCCCCCAGCCTGGTGCCTGGCACGTAGTAGGTGCCACATAATGGTCTGCTTTTATGTTTAGAGGGTGGTTAGGATCCCCAGCCCATAGTAGGTGCCGAGTAAATAAGATCTGCCGTTGATCTGTGAAGGACTTCGTATGGTGCCAGGTACACAGTAGGGGCTCCACGCAGAAGAGCTGTCATCTGTCACGACCTTGGCATGCAGTAGTTGCCTAATTTGGGCTGTGCTCCCTGTGAGGCCCTGAGCCTGGTGGCAGCACAAGAGGTGTCCAGTTAGCAGGCACTCGTGCTATTACTCTCGAGAGCCCTCGGCATGCTCACTGGCACATAGTAGGTGCTCGAGACGTGGGCGCTGTTTTGTCTTCAGTGAGGCGGAGAGGGCGGTCCTAGAGCCCCCGATTCAGACCGGTGTCCACCACGTAGGTGTTTTTGCCGTTAACCTACGACGCTCTTTAAAAAAAAAAAAAAAAAACCAAATTTTTTTTAAAATTTACTTATTTTGAGAGCTAGAAGCAGGGGGCAGAGAGACACAGAGAATCCCAAGCGGCCTCCGCACGGTCAGCGCAGAGCCTGCCGCGAGGCTCAAACCCACGAACTGTGAGACTGTGACCTGAGCCCAAGTCCAGAATCGGATGCTTAAGCGACTGAGCTACCCAGATGCCCCAAACCTATGAAGCCCTTCACACTGCCTAGCGCACAGTAGGTGCCCAACAGAGGGGACTCGTCCTGCTTTTACACTGACAGTGCTATTCCCCTGGCACGCAGTAGGTGTTCGCTAAGTACATCTGCCGTTATGCTGTGACGCCCTTGGCCCGGTGCTTGGCGCAGAGCAGGTGTCCAATAAATCGATGCTTCTACCGCCATCCCGTGCCGCCCCGGCACCTGCCCCGTGTATGACGGGTGCTTCGCCACCGGGGCTTTTCGCGCACACCTAGCCACACACGCGCCCACACACGCGTCCCCCGGGGACGGTGGCCGCCCCCTCCCCAGGGCCGCCTGCGTGCCGGGCGGGTGCAGTGCTGAGCGCAGCGTTCTTGGCCAGCCCTCCCGGCTCCTCCCCTCCCCCCACCCGTCCATCTCACCTTTGGTTGACACCCGCTTCTTTTGGGTTCGACTTCTCTTTGGTTTAGTTCTGTTTTGTTTGTTATCATCTTCTGTTTTATTTTCTCTTTCCCATCTTTTGTTTCCCCGCCCCCCTCCCCCCGCCCATCCCGCCTCCCCTCCCCGCCCCCACGTTCTCCCCCTCCAATAGAACCGTCAGCCCCCCCTCAAGACGTTAAATGCGTCAGCACGCGCTCCACGGCCATTTTGGTAAGTTGGCGCCCACCGCCGCCGGAAACGCACAACGGGGCCCTGGTGAGCTATAGCGTCCGCTACCGACCGCTGGGCTCAGAGGATCCGCAACCCAAGGAGGTGAACGGCATTCCCCCGACCGCCACTCAGATCCTGCTGGAGGCGCTGGACAAGTGGACGGAGTATCGCATCACGACGGTCGCTCACACAGAGGTGGGACCAGGGCCCGAGAGCTCGCCCGTGGTCATCCGCACCGACGAGGACGGTGAGCACCCACCCCGGCCCACCCCCCTCCGCCTCGGCGCCTTCCGCCTCTGCAGAACCGGGGCTGGCTGGTGGTCGGAAGGTAGAAGCCACAGTGTTGAGGGGGAGACGGGAGACCGAGAGCCGTCCCAAGGAATGCCGGGCTCCTTGCTCCTGGGCTCGTCCGTCCCAGGCCCTTCCGGGCAGTATTTTCTCCCCGGGCCCCGTGCCTGGGAAGTGGAGTGTGGCAGCCCTGCATTTTGGTCCGGTGCCGGAAAAGCCCGGAAGCGGTGCTTGCTCACCGCAAGCTCCTGATGCTCCCTGGCCCCGGAAACCTAGCTTTTAGGCTCCGGGGATGAGCCGATAAGATCGGCAGTTCCCTCCCTCGGGCTGAGCCGTCCCCGCGGGCAAGTGGGTCGGCTGCGGCGTGCCGGTGATGCGGCCGGCTCCTGGGGCACGGCCACCGATCTGTAGCCACGGCCGACCCCCGTGGTGCAAACGTTCCTGCCGTGGCCGACTTCTAGCTAGAAAGTTCGGAGCTGCGGGGTGGGGTGAGGCTCCGGTCTGGGGTCCGCCGCTAGAAGCCGGGGCGCGGGGAGACCTGAAGCAAACAGCCAGTCCAGAAAGACGGCAGCTCCTGGGCGTCGGGAGTCCGGCTTGCCTTCCCGGCCCTGGCCTGCCCGAAAGGTGGGGCCCGCAGGCCCCCCCCCCCCATCAGGTGGGGAGGGCTCTCGTGTGGGGCTAGCTGCCTACTGGTTCGCACGGGAACGGGCAGCCGGACTGCCTGGGTTCGGGCCCCGGCTTTGCCTCTTCCTCACCCTGCGATCGAGGCCCCAGTTCCCATCTGTGAAATGGGAGTAAGAGCCCCTGCCTCTAAGGGTGCTGTTAGGATGGACGAGGCAGTGTGGGTAAAGCCCGGGGAACGGAGCGTGCGGCCCTGGGCAGGGGGCTTAGGCTGGGGGGGGGGGGGGGCCCCTCGGCTGCCCACCTGTAAGTGGGGCACACGCCCTCCCCCGTTGGTGGTGAGCGCCCAGACCATCCCAGCTAACCGGCAGCCACTTGGCTCCCTGGCACGGGGCAGCGGTGCTGCCCGGGGCAGGGCCGGGCACCCCAGTAACGGCCCCGCCCGCCCCTCCCCTGCCCCCGCCAGTGCCCAGCGCGCCGCCGCGGAAGGTGGAGGCGGAGGCGCTCAACGCCACGGCCATCCGCGTGCTGTGGCGCTCGCCCGCGCCCGGCCGGCAGCACGGCCAGATCCGCGGCTACCAGGTCCACTACGTACGCATGGAGGGCGCCGAGGCCCGCGGGCCGCCGCGCATCAAGGACGTCATGCTGGCCGATGCCCAGGTGGGCGGGGCGCCGGGGCGGGGCGCCGGGGCGGGCGGGGCGCCGGGCGGGCGGGGCGGCCCCCAGACCCTGCGTTCCTGCCTTCTCGCTGCTGCTTCTCTCTCTCTCTCTGGCCACCTGCTCACCTACTCCTCTCTCCCCTGCCGCCTCCTCCCACGCTCAGTGGGAGACAGATGACACAGCCGAATATGTAAGTAGCACCCCTGCTCGGCCATTGCAGTGTTCTCCCGCGGGCCGTGCAGTGACGTGACCCCGTCCCCACCTCCCCTCCCCTGCGCTTCCCTGGTAAGAGGGTCTTCCCCCCCCTGGGCCCCAGATGCCTACTGGTTACCTCTTGGAGCTGGCAGCCTCGGTTTTGAAGTCAGGCAAATGGGCACAGGAACCCCGCAGGGGTCCCGGACGCAGGGCACAGGACGTGACCCACAGGTTATATATGTCAGCCCTCTTACCTGGATGGCCCCTAGGACCGGGCTCACACTGTTCCTTCCCCTGCCCGTCCAGCCTGCAGCGCTGCTCCCTGTGGCTCGAGCTGTTCCTGCAGCCCCGACCCACCCCTGCAGCCCACACCCGGTTGGACCCAGGCCTGGCAGTTCCGGACTGGGCCTCTCTCTCCAACCCAGCCTGACCCTTTTATCACCCTTCCCGGCCTTCTCTGACCTCGAAGTTCCTCTCTGTGGCCAAAGTGTCCACTTGATCGGGGCCCTTGAGTGGCCAGACGGTCAGTGGGCCCAGCGCAGGAAAGGAGGCCTGCGGTACCCTTTCCACCCCTCCGGGCTTTCTCAGGAGGCCCTGGGCCGGTTGGCATTGCTATGCCTCCTCTCCTCCGTCTGTCTTTCTAGAAGCCCTGACACGGAGGCGCGGGCTCTCAGAAGAGCCCCAAGCTTGATGTTCAATTGATACCCATCCCACCCCCCCAGGGAAGGGAGGGGCGGGGAGTTCCCACCACGGTTTTGGCCCAGCCCCTCCCACGCACCAAGACCCCGGGAGGGGCTGAACGTGCGGCTCAGGGGCAGGAGACCCTCTCTCCGTGCATCCCTGTCCCCCTCCTCGTGTCCCTGACCCGGGGCCGCCCCACAGCTCCCTGGCATGCTGGACTGTGTCTGTGGGTGTGCATGCGTGGGGACGTGGGCACGCGTGCAGCTGCCTGAGGGTGGACGCGGATACGTGTGCGGGTCGGAGGGCTCCGACGTTTGCCAGAGAAGCATTTACCGAGCACCTACTGTATGTAGATCCTGTGTAGCCAGGAGCTGCTGCAGGTGTGGAGGTGACCGAGACCGACCTGAGCCCGCCCCCCTGGGG